ATCTTCTGTCTCACTGAATTAATATGAGGAATTAGTGTGGACAGGACAAGGAAATAGATCTGGGTTAAGAAATCATGATTATTATTTCCAGAAGAAATTCTGGTACATCTATAACACTATCTTCACAGATAAATGAATGAGAGCTGCTTGCCTTTTGAGAAATGGAAAGTCCAGTGTAAATCATGTCACTTTGTGTTAATAAAATCCAACTGTATGAAGGGCTTTACTGAGGACAAAGACATCTTTAAAATCACCACCTTTATTTCCCCAACCTTTGAAAGATTATTTTAGGAATGAGAGATCTACTTTATAGATGACAGAACTTTAATTTTTGCTTGTGATACTACCTACAAGATAAACATGTTTCATTCATGCATCGAATCAAGTTGAGAGTTGATGTTGGATAAGTAAAACTATAAGAATTTTATTAACATACCTAATTTATTTGTTCATCTCATTTTAACACATGTAAGTTAAACTTTTTTTTTTAAAGATTTATTTATTTATTCATACAGAATTGGGGTACAGGCCAGAGATGGGAGGGTGAGAGGATTCACCAGTGACAGAGTGGGGAGCAGAACAGGCAGATCGACAAAGTACACTGCTGAGGGGAGCAGCGGGTGGGTCAGAAGAGGTCTGCCACGCCATGTGGTCTCCTCCGGGGCTCACCGGGATCGAACTCATGCTGAAGTGGCTTTAGCTTCTTGGTGCTATGCTTTAACCCTCTGCGCCACCAGGAAGGGCCCGTAAGTTAAACTTTATTCAAATCTAGGCTGCAGTGAACTGTACACAAAAGATACTTTAAGAATATTTAAAAGTAACTGTTAGGAAATAGTGCCTTTAAAATTCTAATGTGGGATATGTCGGCATTTTTGTGATCCTGTTAGAAACTAACGTTCTTGACTCTGTAGGATAGGATAGAATGTCTTTCCTCTGTTCCTTTTTTTTTTTTACTAAATCAGATTTTCATGTTTAGCAGAATAAGCTTATAAAATATATGAAATTTCATATTAAAGTAAAAATTTGAAATCATTTTAGCCAGCTAATTCTTGAATTTTGTTTAGCAATACTTTTGCAATAATAGATTTTAAATAAAAAACAAGTTAATTGAGTTCACATTCAAGATGATACTTTTCAGTTGTCTACATATGTGATAACCCCATACAATGAGTAAGAAATGCGATAATAGGAAACCTGTTTCCTAAAACCTGTTTTATATTAAAGTTAGATTTAAAATGTCTCTCTGGAGATTCCATTTAATTATATTTATCAGAGTCATAGAAATATTTCAGTCATCCGTATCTCAAAAAAATTGTTTTAATTTTATATTAAACTCCATCATGGTTATGATCTAAATTATTTTGAAAGAATGAATCACAAAAGGACCCACGGTTTTTTTATTTCTAAAGAAGGGACCACAATGAACCTTTGTGGGCACTGCCTCAAAACCAAAAATACTGATGAGTATTTCCCTCTATACTCTTAATTTTTTCAAACACAGCTGCTGTGTCAGGTAGAAGTAGATAGGTATGAAGGTACAGATTGACTTTTCCAAAAGTCTAGTAGGAGGAGAAAGAAAGAGTTTAGTGTATTTAAAACTTTGTGTATAAGGTTTCAAGTATGTGGACATGTGCCATTGCAGGAATTGGCCCTTAAACCTTTCGCCAAGAATGATATATTATTTATCTCCAAGCACTCTTGGGAAAATGCTGAAATCAATATACTACTTTCCTTTTATAAGCATTACACCTTTCTGAGGCAAACATTCAATTGTATTCTATAGAGAGATAAGAAACAACCCTGTTCCATCTATTAGAAGCAGTTATTGGTACAATGCGCAGTATTTATTACAGTGTTGAAAATGTAAACCCATTCTTTGTTAGTGCTAATTCCTACTGTCTCTTTGAATTATCGAGAAACAGAACTTGCATCCTACAATATCCTGGCGCTTATATCTTACTAAAGTGAATCCTTAGTATGGTGGCTCTTGGTTCATCCCCCAACACCTCCAGTTGATTTAAGATAATCTCTTCTCTAATCTAGACATTGTATATAGTGATAGGTGAAGTTCAAATTCTAGCTTTGCCACGTTATAGTTTTGTATATGACATAACATTTATACTTTCTTAATCTGTAAAATCAAAAGGGAATGGATTAATTTAAGCTGTAAGAAAGACTTCGAGTAGTACCATTTCTTTAAAAATTATTGAATCAAATGTGCAAATTTCTTGTGTTTTATTTTTACAAAGTTTGTTCAAGTATTTGTATATACTGAATTCAATAATTACATTGTCATTAAAGTGACATATTTCCAAATTATTTTTGGCATAAGATCTGTATTAGTGCTATATAATTTGAAAGTGTAATTTGTTATCACTTATTAAAATATTTTGTTTGAAATTATAAGTTTTTCTAAGTGTCTAGGACTTCTTTGCTTAGATGTCTTTATAAGTTATAGTTTATGTCAAATAGATATTTAATATTTAGGGATGGCTTGTACAAGGTTACTTAGCTCTCTAGGACTAGAATTGGAACTTTTGGTAACAGTTTGTTCTTTTCACTTATATAATTGTTAGGTAGAATGTCTTTATTTTTGCAGTTCTATTCACATCTTCTGTCTAGAAGAGTAGTTTTCCTGCTTGGCTATATATCAATCTATAAGTTTAAAGAAGAAAATTAAAGTTCTTTTTCTGCTTGTTCTAGGTAATAATTATCTTTCTAGAGCTAATTATTAACATAGTTTTGTATTTATTCATTCCATTTTTTTCTGTATAAGAATGAGTTTGACTGTTATTTTTTGTTCTTGTAATCATTTTTCTTAAACCAAAATGAAATTCACAAAATATTTTTCATATAAAACATGCAGATCTACATTTGATCTTTAAAAACTAAAATATGGTAGCCAACTTTCTGTATCAGTGTATGTTTATTTACCTTGTTATTTTTAGTTGCTGCATTACATGCCATTGCATAGGTGGGCATATTTTAATTACCAGTAGAACTAACTTTTCTGTTTGACTTTTTCAGTATTACAAGTAATATTTAAATGAAATCTTAGAACCTTTTGCAATTATAGAATCAATTCCTGCAAATAGAAACATTTTGAGAAGATTTTTTCAAATATTTCAAATGGTTGTATAATCTTACTTAATAATAAAACTCATCTGATAATTTTCATTTATATTACTACAATTGTTTCCTGCCCAACTTGTTTTCTTTCTTCCAGATTGCTTTTCTGAGTAGTGTATATTAGATGTCTGTATTCAGTGTTTGCTTGATCTTTCTCTCTTTTTAAAATTTTTTAAAGATTTATTTATTTATGCACTCAGAACTAGAGTACAGGCCAGAGGTGCGGGAGAAGGGAGGGTAGGAAGATTCACCAGAGACAGAGTGGGGAGCAGCGGGCCAGTCAGGAGAGGTCTGCCATGTCATGTGGATCACTCCCTGGTGGGGATTGAACTCTTGCTGCAGTGGCTGTGATAGCTTCATAGTGCTGTGCTTGAACCCATTGTGCCACCAGGGGGGGCCCAGTTGTTCTCTTTCTCTCTCTCTCTCTTTTTAAAGCAATATGTATGAACATGTAATGTCAAATGGCTAGCTGTAGTTCACATTTTGAAACCATAGAATAATTATTTCAAATTTCAATTTAAAATTCATGTTCCTTAGGAAGTTCTATAAGATTAATACAACCTAGTTATAGATGTTACATATAGCCTCAGAATTTTCTTATAACTAAATATAGGTAAGGCAACTAAAATTGTTTTTATAGTATGGTATTAGAAGTTGTCTTACGAGATAATTTGGATTAGGTATCCCCATTGTTGGAGCCAAGGATATTTTTCTTACTATCTGTTATGTCTACTGCTATCTAGAAAAATGTATTTATAATAAAATTATAATAAAGAAAATAATAAGTATCTTTGCCTTTGTGCTGTAGAGATTTTAGATCTGGGGTTGAACCAAATCCTTTCACTTACTTTGTAAATTGAATATTATTGGTACACAGCCATCACTATTCATTTTATATTTGTCTGTTATTTCTTTTTGTTACTGTGAGAGTTCAATAGTGCTAAGACTGCAAGAGTAAAATATTTACTTGGTAGCTCTTTTGGTAATCACTCTTTTTTAGATTGTAAGCACTTCGGCATTAATTTCTTTTACCTTTTTTTCTATATCATGTTCTGTCCACACTGTGTATAATTTATGAGCTCATAAACTGCAGGGAAATAAGGAACTTGCTGGGTTGGAGAATATCTGTGATTTTAAAATGTTGGCAGCTTTTGCCTTCCCAAAGGAGTTGTACTGCTTGTACTTGAAGTAATACTTTTATGGCAGACATCTTTGCCTGTAACGTTGGCAGCTCAATGTATTAGTACACTTTTTTTTTTTTTTGGTCTTCCCTGACCTCATAGGGGAATTACTATTGTAGGTTTGATTTGAATTTCTTTTTATGGTTTTTTTTTTTTTTTTTTAAGATTTATTTATTTGTGCATACAGAACTGGGGTACAGGCCAGAGGCTCAGGGGCGGCGAGAGGCCTCACCAGAGACAGAGTGGGGAGCAGAACAGGCAGATCAATGAAGTACACTGCTGAGGGGAGCAGCGGGCGGGTCAGGAGAGGTCTGCCACACCATGTGGTCACCTCCGGGGCAGGCGGGAATCGAACTCATGCGGAAGCAGCTGTAGATTCTCAGTGCTGTGCTTTAACCCACTGCGCCACCAGGGAGGGCCTATGGTTTTTTTTTTAATGTAAATTTTTTGTGTATTTCTTAAATGACAAGAGCAAACACCAGTATTCTAAGGGCCATCTTTTCTATTTGACAGATGATTTTGAAAAAGGACATGCCATAATCTTACTGCCTTATTAATTTCCTGTATTTTATTGCCATTATTTGAAGTGATACTATTTCCTTATGAATTATTAATGAACTTCGAAGAAGGTTACATAATTCACCATTGTCTGTCATAAAATAAACTCATTGTTTCTTTTTTGCTTTGTAGGAACTCATTATACAATGACAAATGGAGGCAGCATTAACAGTTCTACTCACTTACTGGATCTTTTGGATGAACCCATTCCAGGTGTTGGTACATATGATGATTTCCATACTATTGATTGGGTACGAGAGAAATGTAAAGACAGAGAAAGGCACAGACGGGTAAGTTTTTGGGCAAAATTTTTGAATAGCATGTAGTTATATAACTTTATTTAATTATATTTTTGCTAGTGATCTAGCAAATATGTTATATATTAAAAGTACATTTAAGTAAATTTCTATTTTTTATACATGCTTTTTCCTCTGTATTTTGTTTTTAGTTTATTTACACCTGATATCTTTCTAAAAAGGATTTGAAATAAGTGAAAATGAAATAAATATTAAGACAAAATAGGAAGGCTAGGGAAAACAGCATACAGGACGTGGTAGAATGGTCAAGCTATGTTCAAAATAAGAAGCCATGGTTTTCAGCTTTGAGCAGCCCAGCAATTATGGCATAGGACACAGTACATGAAATCAGTATTCTGCATAGTGATTCTTAAACAGTTTTGCTTTAGATCTCCTTTAAACCCTAAGTAATTTTTGAAGATTTCTGAGGAGCTTTAGTTTATGTGGTTTTGTTGATTAATTTTCACCATACTAGAGAAATAAAACTGAAAAATTTAAAAGATTATTAATTCACTTGAAAAATCACATATAAAACTCATTACTTGTTAGCACATATAATATATATATATTTTAAAGATTTATTTATTCATACAGAACTGGGGTACAGGCCAGAGATGCGGAAGGTGAGAGGATTCACCAGGAACAGAGCGGGGAGCAGAACAGGCAGATCGACGAAGTACACTGCGGAGGGGAGCAGCGGGCGGGTCAGGAGAGGTCTGCCGCACCATGTGGATCTCCTCCGGGGCAGGTGGGAATCAAACTCATGCAGAAGTGGCTTAGGTCTCTTAGTGCTGTGCTTTAACCCGCTGCACCACCAGGGAGGGCTCGCACACATAATATATTTTTATAAAAATTAGCTACATTTTGTAAAATAAAAAATGTTTTGTGAGGGAGTAACATTGCTACATTATAAATCTATTGTCTGATTTAATAGGAATACTGATTTCTTGTGTTTGCTTCTGCAGTCTGTCTGTTAGTGATATATTGTTTTGATTGAAGTATGTGAAAAAATCCAGCCTCACACAGATCGGTATTTGGAAAGTCTAGGACTGTTTTAATAACTTTTTTTAGATCACTGTGTATATTCTTTGATAATGCACTAAAATGGTTAAGTGAAATTTTCTTAAATTGAGTTGTAGTGTGTAAATGAAACTGTATCAATGAACTTTTCATTTTCTGTTACATTAAAATCAATATTTTACCTTGATTTTTTAAATTGAATTAACATAGATTTACAACATTATGTAGAATTTAGAGATACAGTATCACTCCTTTCAGATATATATTTACCTTGAACTTTCCATTTTTTTATATTATGCAATGAATATTTGCAAAATACTAATTCACTGATTTATGCAGATCTTTTAGTTGTTGATATTTTCCATTATGCAATACTACATAGTGTTTAAAAATCCCATGTGTTGGCCTTCCCTGGTGGCGCAGCCGGTTAAAGCACAGCACTAAGAAGCTTAAGCCACTTCCGCATGAGTTTGATCCCCGTCTGCCCTGGAGGTGACCACATGGCGTGGCAGACCTCTCCTGACCCACCAGCTGTTCCCCTCCACAATGTACTTTGTAGATCTGCCTGTTCTGTACCCCACTCTGTCTCTGGTGAATCCTCTCACCCTCCGCATCTCTGGCCTGTACCCCAGTTCTGTATGAATATAAAAAAAAAATCCCATTTGTTAATATCAACACATCTCTTTTTAACATTTTTTTAAATAAGTACCTTGTCATCCTTTGAGCAATGGCTACAAGCTTGTCAGAATTCTGATTTCAATTTAAAGCTCAAATTCTATCATTGGAAACAAATAATATTTATTTTACTTAAGACAACAGGCTAACTTGGTTCTTTGAGAAAATACCATTACATTCCTAAGTCTGAAAAACCACTTTGTGTCTTTCAAGAGTGTCCCATGTAAGTCCCTAGTTTGTAACTCGTCATGCAAAGCTTTTCCTCAAGACACAACTCACACTTCACTGTGCATCAGAAGTGCTTTATGATGTATACTTCTTATAATATGCAACATTAAAAACATTCAGTAGGTGCATACTAATTTTGTTGCTTCATCAAAGATATTCTTAAGTGGAATGACATATTTTTTAAATGGGATAAGTGAAGCATATGATGAGTACTAGTATGTTTGGGGGCACTGCCTTGATTTGTGCTGAGGACTCAGTACTTTTGATATTGCTTTTTGCATTACCAGTGAAAATGTCAACACAGGCAAAAAGGCCTATCATTTCTTAGTGGTGTCATGAAAATAGTTTTTATTTTGATGTCTCCTTGAGAAGATCTTAGTGACCTTCAGGGTGTATATGGGACACTCTTTGAGATTCAGTACTTTAATCCAATGTCCAAACACACTGTAATCCTGTATCTTATATGTTTGTTGGGTAATTGCATTACATTATGTTATGTACATTATAGATTCATTCATCAAAAGATTTCAGATTTGGGTTTTAATGTTTTTTAGAGAGAAGTACTATGGAAATGTCCAAAAGATCCCATGTTTATAAGATTTTAGAGAAAATTGAAACTAAGAGAAACCATAGTAACCTCCCCCTTACAGTTCTTGAAAACATATGAATAGTATGACAACATATGGAATCAGTAAATATCTTAGCTACTTATATCAGTCATCTATTTCTAGATTAGTCAAGTATCTTTCCAATTTCTTGCTTATATAAATACAAAACTTTTTACAGCTGGGAAAGAGTTTGTACATTGGTATTCTTACTATTCATAACATTAAATTAAAAAAAATTCTGTCAGTATATTTGTCTACCTCTTTTTATACATTTAAGCTTTTTGTTACATTTGTAGCCAGCCCTCTGCTCTAGATTATTTTGAAACAAATCAACATTATGTCCCTTCAAATTCTACTATTTTAGTATTTTGAAAAGTTAACATCATTCTGTTTTTATAGTTTGAATTCAATTTCTGTAAAAAAGAACTATCTTGGGCTGAAGCTTTATGACCTACAAGCTAGCTGCAACTGCTTCAGTGTGAGTTTGATCCCTGCCCTGGAGGTGACCCGCATGGTGCAGTAGACCTCTCCTTTTTCGCCCACTGCTCCCCTCAGCAGTGTACTTTGTTTATCTATCTGCCTGCTCTGCTCCCCACTCTGTCTCCAGTTCTGTATGCATAAATAAATAAATCTTAAAGAGAGAACTATATCAATTATTTGCATTCCTGAATTCACTTTGTATAGAAAAGGGAGAGTTTGAAATCATATGGTTGCCTGGCATCCTCAAAAGTGACCGATGACATTTTTGTTGCGTTTTTTTTTTTTGGTTTTTGTTTCTCTATCTTCATGAACTCTTACATTTAAACATACTTGGTGTGTCTTAATCCACCACAAATACCCTTATTGAAGCCCATGTTATTCCACTTTTGACTATTGGGAGCTTATTAGATCAGTGTTATGTCCTAAGCCATAGTTGGTATTATGTATTCTGTAAAGACAAGATGATTTTAGTTCATATTAGTAATTTTCTGTACCAAACCTGGAGTCAGCTATTTTTTAAGGAGCTCTGGTTCTTGTGAAGAAAAATGGTATATTGGTACGTTAGGCACGAGCAGCACTTTCTGCTCATGGGTTGTTTCTAGCCTGTTAAGTTTATAGGAATCTCTAATTTTTATTCAAAATAATAGGGCTTTTATTTAGCATCTAGTTCTAAAATCTGTATCTCTTTCCAGTGATGCCCCAAATTTCAACAGCATGTACATAACCATTTGGTTTACCTCACAGTATACATATTATTACTAGCACCATCACCAGCAATATGCTTTTTGAAGAGATGTATGAAGTCATACATCTAGGCTTGATTGATTGTGGTAATAGAAAGAGTAAAATTATTTCATTCAACCTAGAACTTGCTGAGTCTTTTTAATGGGACTTTGTGGCTTAAAATAGATAAGATCAATGAAATTTGGCTTTGGTTGAAGCAGTTGAACAGCACAATTTTTGGCTGAAAACACAGCAGAAATTCTAATAGGTCAGAGGGGTTTGGATTTGTTTGGAATAGGTTTAGGTATGTATTTTACTAAGGGGCAAGATTTGCCTTCTTGTGTTCTAGTAGACTAAATCTGAAAATCAGATATATTACCATCCTGTTAATCTCCTCACAGTCTCCACTATATTCAGCAGAGGATTTTTTTGTTCTACATTGTAATAAAATAGAACCTCTGGACCCTACCAGTAGGTTTTGAACTCTCCATTCCTGAAAACTCATAGGTCTACAAATTTTGGGGGCTCCCTGTTTTACATGCTTATCACCATTATAGGCATGGTACTGTTATTCACTGATCTTACACTTACAGGAATATTCCACTTAATATAAGAATAATCCGCTCAACTTCTAGGACCAGAGAATGATCAGCAAGTGACAGATATTTTAAATTAATGTTTTATTTAAGCTAAGTTGATTCAACTAAAACTATTATTCGTGTATCTTTTTGCTCTCAAATTCTGAAGCCCTTTTTAAAAATACAGATCTTTAGGTTAATTCTTATCATCTGGCTTATAGATATAGTAACTCTCTGCTATATAATGATTTTGTCTCAAATTCATCTGTCCCATTATTTACTTTAGAAAGTATGGTCCTTTGTGAAGTAGCTGAGAATAATGATCAGATTCTAGAATTGTGACTTCTTGTAGTTGGAGAAATGAAGCATAAACATTTCTAATTTCAGATCAACAGCAAAAAGAAAGAATCAGCATGGGAAATGACAAAAAGTTTGTATGATGCATGGTCAGGATGGCTAGTAGTAACACTAACAGGATTGGCATCAGGTAAATAAAAATTTAATGCAATCTTGTTTTGCTTAAAAGAATAATAAATACCTTTCTTCTCCTTCCCACAGTTACCCTTTCCCACCCCCCAGGTCCATTGGATTTTTAAAAGCATTTCTTTCTTACCTTCAGAAAATATTCTTACATGTAAGGCTAGGAATCAGGAAACTTCAGAATCTAATTTTTCCTGCAATCTTAAATGTCTATCCAATTTGGTAAATCTTTCTGAACTCAGTTTTCTTATCTGTAAAATAATATGGTTTGAACAAGATGATTGATAAAGTATCTTCTTATATTAACATCTATGAATAGCTAACATTTATGAAGTCATTCATGTCTGTCACTGTTGCAGAATTTTTTTACATGTGTGTTAACCTCATGACAATTTATGGTATAGTTGCTGTTACTGGCACTGTTTTACAGATGAGGGGCTGAAACATGAGAGTTTATGTAACTTGACTAAGGTCATGAAGTTAGTAGTAGGTGAGCAAGCAGAGAATTAAATTGAGGTATTTAACTCAGAAACTTTTATTTTTAGCTATCATGCTATACAATGTCCGCCACGTACCTATGGTATGAAATTTGAAGAAACAAGCATCTGAAAAAAATTAAGAATTATTTTAATGTCACTATGGAAGATTATGTCTAGAAGAACATAAGGAAAAGTAAATGCATACGGAAAATAATTGATTGACATGAGAATTTTGTAGCTGCTGTGTACATCACCCATTGATCTTTTTATATGAAAAAGACCATACATTTGTTTTTGCATTTTATTTTGCATTTGCATTTTTTTGCATTTTATTTGTTTTTGCATCATTTTGACATATTGGTTCTGTTATTTAGGAAAAACTGAAAGTCTTTCACAGTAATTCATGAATGTTGTGCGTTTGTTTCCCAGGGACATTAAATTTTAATGAGGTTGAGGTCATTTATAAGTCTGTTAACTATCTTTCAGATTAAAACATCCTAGTAAAACTTTGGACTTCAGTAGCCACATTTTTGAATCTCTGACCAAGTAGTGATCTTTAGAAGATATTTTAGTTCTTTAAGTACCTTTTTAAAGAAATTACAATTAATTTGAATGATATAACTAGTTTTAAATTTCTGGGAAGGATTTTTTAAAGACTATATTACTTTTTAAGGATGATAAATAGCTAAACTTATTGATAACTAAGACTAGAAGATCATAAATTCATATGCCATTTGCTTTGTGGCCCTTTATAGGAACTCCTCTGCTTCTATTGATATTTTTAATTTGTTAATTCTCAGTTTCTCCTCAAATGAGCTTTTTTTGTTTTGTTTTTAACCAACTCCAACATGTTGTTTATAGGGGCATTGGCTGGATTAATAGATATTGCTGCTGATTGGATGACTGATCTAAAAGAGGGTATTTGCCTTAGTGCATTGTGGTACAACCATGAACAGTGTTGTTGGGGATCTAATGAGACAACATTTGAAGAGAGGGATAAATGTCCACAGTGGAAAACATGGGCAGAATTAATCATAGGTCAAGCTGAGGTAAGTCTTGCTTGGTCTCAAGATAAGTTAATAATTTATATTGTGAAATGAATCTCTAGTTCATTTAAATAAGAAAACAATCACAAGTTAAGTGATTGTTAACCCACATTAGGGAAAAGGAAGAAGGAAATGTGATAGGATTAAATGGGAAAGATGAGAATCCATTACAACAAGTAAAATTTAACTAAAAAGCCCTTATGTTGATTGAGTCCATAGTTACATACATGTCTACTAGGTTATGATGTAAATGTATTTCTTACAGAAAAGATATATAGTAGATTTTGTATAATCATAGAAAGTTAAGATGAAATCAAGTTATTCAAGCTGTTAATCATTTCGCATTATTTGAGAAGTATGAATTAATACAAAAATAGTAAGATAAGCTACAACTGGGATATTTTAAAGAAACCCACAGATTTTCCTTTGTGGTTTTACAATGTTAAGTGTTTTTTTTTTTATTCTTTATGTTCTACAATGAATACATTAGAAATTTGAATATTATAGAATACATATACACTATTAAATGATCATAGCTTACTCTTAAAGCTAAAATTCTTTTTATGGCTAAAAAGAATATACTTGCTGGTAAGATGGGCAGTTTGCTCTTTCTTACCTATTTTCAGGATAACTGGAGCAGAATGAAATCCAAGCGCCAGAGCCACTATTTCTCAAAGGGGTCTAAGGGTTGGCAGAGATGGAGATATAGCTGTGGTTCTTAGCAGTAGACTTTAGGGATCTGGCAAAAGCTAGGAAAATAATTAGGTTAAAGCTTGTTGGTATGAATATGACTAAGTTTTAGATTCAGTTAAATATTTCATTCATGTAAGGTTTTTATTGTAGTCATAAACCCAGGAAACCTAGAAGTTTTACCCATGTTTCTTATGTGGTAAACCACTTGCATTAGAGGTACACTGTAAATTACATTCATACTATTTCACTATTTGCTTTCTAGGGACCTGGTTCTTACATCATGAACTACATAATGTACATATTTTGGGCCTTGAGTTTTGCCTTTCTTGCTGTTTCTCTGGTAAAAGTATTTGCCCCGTATGCCTGTGGATCTGGAATTCCAGAGGTAAGCCATGCAGAATCTTTGCCATTAAATATTTAATACTAATTGTGACACATTTTTTTTTCCTTCACAGAAAAATATAGGTTTTGATTTTTCTTTAGGTTTGTTCATGCGAAAAAGTTGTTTTTAAACATGGAAACTGAAGTAGACACTATTGACAAAAATTTTTCTCTCTAGTCAATGCTTCAGTTACTATGAAGATTGGCTTCTTTTTTCTCTCACCATTAATTTACACATCACTAAACAAACATCTGAAGACAGAATTTAACATGAGGGATCTGGGCCTCCCTGGTGACACAAGGAGTTAAGTCTCAGCACTGTGAAGTTATCTGAAGTCACTGCAGCATGAGTTCAGTCCCTGGCCAGGTTGCTGACCCAACATGGTATAGCAGACCTCTCCTCTTTTACCTGTTGCTTCCTTCAGCACTGTATTTCACTCAGTCCACCTATTCTGCTCCCCACTGTGTCTCTGTTGAATCTTCCTCCCCACCAATCCCTGCACCTCTGGCATATACCCCAGCACTTGTATACATAAATAGATAAAATAAATCTTAAAACAAAACAAAACAAAACATGAGGGACCTGGAAAAATATCTGTGACTTTAGGTTCTTTGATGGATTAGTTGATTTTTGCTATAATAAATGACTTGAACATATTAGTTCTTTGTAACCATTTTCTAATTAGATAAGTTGATTCTTGAATTTGAAAGATAACATTTATAACCACTTTATACTGTAAATGTTTGTTTATAGTGAATTTGTAGTATAAACCTTAGTTTTTTTTTTTAAGATTTATTTATTTATTCATATAGAACTGGGGTACAGGCCGGAGATGCGGGGGGTGACAGGATTCACTAGAGACAGAGTGGGGAGCAGAACAGGCAGAACAACGAAGTACACTGCTGAGGAGAGCAGCGGGCGGGTCAGGAGAGGTCTGCCTCGCCATGTGGATCTCCTCCGGGACAGGCGGGAATCGAACTCATGCGGAAGTGGCTTTAGCTTCTCAGTGCAGTGCTTTAACCCGCTGCGCCACCAGGGAGGGCCTAAACCTTAGTGTTTTTATTTTTTTAATAATTTGAAAGCAAATATACTTAACATTGACTATGATGACACCTTTCTTGTCCCTTTTTACTTTTCTGTTTTAAGTTACCAGCTTTTTCTAGTGCATTACTTTTTAAATTGTAATAATTCTAAAAATGGAATTAATAAAGACTATCTTTAATAAAGTATAATATCACATAAAATCTAGCATTTGACACTCATCCTTCTAGAAAACATACAGACAAATAGTTGTAGTACACTGAGAAATTATTTCTGACAATATCTAAAAGATATCTATTTCTATACCAGAAATTTTTCTTTTCCTGGTTATATCGTAATAATACTAACAACAACAATAATAATACTAAGGTCTGTATTCTCTTTAACATGGCCTGATGTTTTAGTTTTGCTCACAAGATAATTTTGTCTTCTACCCTTTCACAAGGTTATTGTTTTGTTATAGATTTGTCATATGTAATATGGTAGTTGAAACATTTGAAAAGTTGTGTATTGTTCCATAGTCTGCAAACATTTTGCAAGGTGGTTTTTGTATATAAAACAAGAGCGTAACTTAAGTTTTCTTGTTTATAAAAGAAAATTTAGCTGCTTTAAACTTTCCTTTTTAGATTAAAACTATCTTGAGTGGATTCATCATCAGAGGTTACTTGGGAAAATGGACTTTAATGATTAAAACCATCACATTAGTACTGGCTGTGGCATCAGGCCTGAGTTTAGGAAAAGAAGGCCCCCTGGTACATGTTGCTTGTTGCTGTGGAAATATTTTTTCCTACCTCTTTCCAAAGTATAGCACAAATGAGGCTAAAAAAAGAGAGGTAAGTATCTTTTCTTTTTTGTAATAATTTACGCATTCGGATTAACAATCCAATGTAAGATTTACTGATGCTCCTTTTCCCTTTTTTGAATAATTTATAGCATTTTCTGTACTACAACTTCAGAGCTGCCCATTTACTATTGTATTAGAGGTGTTTTAGGTAGACTACATGGTATTCATTGTTTTTTTTGTTGTTGTTGAATTTCTCAAAGATCTTTCCTTCTGTGTTTGCTTTGCTAGTACCTTCTCTCTTTTGAAACTAGAATGCTGTTTTTAATTCTTTAATTCTCCCCATCGGTATTTCTCCAGGGTTGAGCTATCTTAATAGCTGTGCTTCCTCTGGAGGAACTTCTAATGGCATTGGGAGGGGTGTGATCTGCAGAGCGCTATCTTAACACCATGGAGCAATTGTGAGGGCCTTTAAATAGGGCTTCCTGAGGTTTAACCAAAAATTCACATTAAAGGGAATACAGGAATTCATCTTTATAGCTGCATAGGATGATTTTCTTTAGCAGCCTGAGATCTTTTGGGAGACCTTTACATATTTTATATCACAGATTTTCTCAGATGTTTCTCAATTGTACTGGATGTTTTCGAAAAGAAAAAATGGGCTTTGGACCTGTATTTGGGGGTATAGTCTATACTTATTTTCCTAGTCTTTTAGTTGTTATGATATTTTTTGCATCTCTAAGTATTAAGAACTCAGTGATCTCTGGCCATGCACAGAATCTTTCTTCCTGTTTTTTGTTTGTTTTGTTTTGTTTTGTTTAATAAAGGAATCTTTTATTATTTTCCAATTAAAATTATCCTATTTTAATTTAATTTTAGCACTAAAATATTGTCCTTGCATTGCTATAGTCTAAAGGTGAAACACTTCAGAGTATCATCCTTTCATCTCTAAATAATTGTGACTCCAGTACTATCTTGCATAACAAAAAGAGCCAACGTTTTCTCATTACTTATTGTGTATCTGGTGTTGTCTCAAGCATTATATTTGGCTTAAAATTTTTAATTACACATTAATTCTTTTAAGGTGGCACTATTATCCTCATTTATAGATAGGGAATTAGAGTGTAAAATACAAGTATTTAGCTCAAGATTATAAATTGTGTGTGGATTAAAATTTATTTTTCTCTGACTACCACTACTACTATGACTATGCATATATATGTCTTTATATGGTTTTAAAACTAAAAAAAATTAAAATCTGGAACTATACTATAGCATACCAAGGTAGTGGTTAAGATGGAACTCTTCCATTTGTCTCCCAGTTCAATTCTGTTATTTGCTATTATGGCTAGGCATTTTTTTTTTCAGTAGAATTTTTATTGATTAGAAACATTTATGGAAATTAAAATTACTTAAACATTAATACACATTTTCTAATGATTAAAGTTTCTGACAGTATGCTGTAACTGTAGCATGTAAGTGGCTAGAATTTACTTGGGAGTTGAAAGCATTAGGCTTCATATTTTAACTTTCTTCCAATATCCACTTCCATGACTTTTTAAATATGCTATATGTGATCCTTTTAGTGGGGACTGGAGGAAGGAGAAACAAAAGCAAAAATAAGTTTAATTTGTTCTCCCTTACTCGCTAAATAAGACGAGTCCGCATTCTAAATTAAGTCAGGTATAATTTAATTAAAAACAAGTATTTGTTTATTTTCACTTTATCAAATATTTATAAAGTATTTACTGAGTTTTAGGATTGTTGTAAATACTGTATCAACTGTTAATTCTCAGGAATTAAGCAATATTTTTCACACCCCCTTTTTAGAGAAGAGAAAACTGAGAAACAAAGAGATTGAGTTACTTACTATAGTCACACCGCTAGTAAATGTTAGAGCTATATACTGGTAACCTGACAATGGAGTTTATACTCTTAAATGTTTTCAATTTTATTTTGGTTATTTTTCTCTTTTCTTAGTCAGTAGAGTAAAAATTCAGGAAATACTTTGGTAGCCTCAGGTATTTACTGGATAGAGTATTAGAGTAAAGATCCTTAGAAAAACAATTTTAAGTGAATGCCCAATGAATTTATATGTGAGGTTGACTTCATGTTGGTGCAAATTGGGCAATATCCAAGTAACAGACCAGGGAACTGGAAAGAGGGCCAGAGGAGTACTCATGGATGTTTTTTTTTTTTTCTTTAACTTTGTTGTAGAGTTTTATTAATCAGGTTATCAAGAAAGGATTGCCATTGTTTGTGCTTTTAGAATGAGACAATTTCAATGGAAAGTAGCAAAATTAAAACTTACAGTTTTTTGCAGACTATGCTCCTTTGGGTCCTCTTCTCTCTGTGACTTCAGAAGTAACATGAAAGCCTGTAAATTGATCATATTTTTAGAGGACTTGGATAGTGAAAATGCATGAAATTTCAATAGTCTGTGTGTTTCTGGGTATTTTACTCGGATTTGAAATAGAGGTAATTATTAATAATGAAGTAGTGAAATCTAAAGCTTGAAGAAATAACAACTTATTTAAAAATAAATGGACAGTCCATTCGCCAAACTCGTTACTGATCTTTGTATTTATCTTCACAATCAGACATCTTGAAAGCCATCTGTGTTCAGTACATCCCATTTGCATTAGTTTATCTTCTATAATTGTTTTTTGACTGAATATTGAATATATAAATGAATTTTCAAATTAATGCAGAAGGGAAAAAGTCTTAGACTTAGAATTAAATATTTACTTGGGGGGAAAAGAAACATGAATTAAATTCAGAAGTTTTGTTTGGAAAATTTAAGTAACCTGAAGAATTTTTGTTTGGTATATTTGAATTTATAAGAAAATACAAATATGGTGTATCTTCATTTTAGGTGCTTTCAGCTGCCTCGGCTGCAGGGGTTTCTGTAGCCTTTGGTGCACCGATTGGAGGAGTTCTTTTTAGCCTGGAGGAGGTAGGTTAGAATTCTGTAGTAATGCTGCTATAAATATATGTTGGCATACTTCCTAGTTTATATCTAGTAAAATTAATACAGTGTTTTTTTTAAGTTTTTAATTTTATTTTCATACTTTTATATTATTACCAAAAAAGTAACATGAACATAAGTTATAGATACCCCTTTTATCTACACCTGGAAGGAATCCTTTTTTAAGTCTATAGTATATAAATATTAGTGGTTATTTAAAATATAACTTTGTTTACATTTAAAAGTAAGCAGGTATGAATTTGACTGACTAGAAGGCAATCTATTCTAGCTGGTTAAATTGCAGCTTGTATTTAAAAAAAAATCTTTTAACTTATCCCTATGTAATTTTTGAATAATTTCTTTATAACAGTTTATTTTTACATCATTTTGTACATTTTTTTTTCCATCTCAAATGTAAACCCTGCGGGTTTCCCATCACCATAATTTTTCTTGTGTGATTATTTCTGTTGCAGTTTTTGATGTTTAAGGGAATAATTGGGGTTCTTTGTTTTTGTTTCTCATTGGTGATTAAAAGATTTTTCCTTTTTTACACATTTACACCAAAATGTGACTAGGAATGTTTTAAAGTTATTTCTTCCATTTGCTTCTATTTTTTAAATAATACATAAATGGCAAATTAAATACTTAAAAAAGATTTATTAATGCATATAATAATCTTTCAGGTATAGGTCAGAGGTGGGGAGGGGTGTGGTAAGGAGGGTGGGTGAGAGGACTCATCAGAGTGGGGAGCAGAACAGGCAGATGTACTGAAACACACTGCTGAGGGGAGCAGTGGGCAAGACAGGAGAGGCCTGCTGTGCCATGTGGGTCACCTCCCTGGCTGATGTGCTGCAGTGGCTGCGATAGCTTCACAGTGCTGTGCTTTAACCCCCTGCGCCACCAGGGAGGGCCAAATTAAATACTCCTTTTTGAGCTAACAGGAGTTGGTAATGGCATATTAATTCTTAACTACTGTGAATGAATTAGAGGTGGAATTCATTTTGAAAATAATACTAGGCATTTTAAATAACTACTAAGCACTTACAGTGTGCTATTACTGTGAATTTGTAGTGATGTGATAGCCAAAGTTGTTAAGACATTTTTTGTCACAATAAAATCTGTATAAACTAGTGGGCAAGTGAGCCTGCGGCCGCTTCAATTCAAGTTCAGCCCCTGGTCCTGGAGATGACCCACATAGTGCAGCAGACCTGTCCTGTCTTGCCCACTGCTCCCCTCAGCAGTGTACTTTGTCAATCTGCCTATTCTGCTCCCCACTGTGTCTCTGGAGAATCCTCTCATTGCCACTGCCTGTACCTCAGTTCTGTATGTATAAATAAATAAATCTTAAAATTAAATAAAACCTATGCATGTAAATTTTAGATGTAGCAAAAATTAGAGCTATGGAATTTACTACTCAAATTATATGAGCTGAACAACTTGTAAAATTATAGCATTAATTTTTTCTTTTTTCTTTTTTAGGTTAGCTATTATTTTCCTCTTAAAACTTTATGGAGGTCATTTTTTGCTGCTTTAGTGGCTGCATTTGTTTTGAGATCCATCAATCCATTTGGTAATAGCCGTCTGGTTCTTTTTTACGTGGAGTATCATACGCCGTGGTACCTTTTTGAACTGTTTCCTTTTATTCTCCTTGGGGTATTTGGAGGGCTTTGGGGGGCCTTTTTCATTAGGGCAAATATTGCCTGGTGTCGTCGACGCAAATCCACCAAATTTGGAAAGTATCCTGTTCTTGAAGTCATCATCGTTGCAGCTATTACGGCTGTGATAGCCTTTCCTAATCCATATACAAGGCTCAACACCAGTGAACTGATTAAAGAGCTTTTTACAGACTGTGGCCCCCTGGAATCCTCTTCTCTTTGTGACTACAGAAATGACATGAACGCCAGTAAGATTGTTGATGATATTCCCGATCGTCCAGCAGGTCTTGGAGTATATTCAGCTATATGGCAGTTATGCTTAGCACTCATATTTAAAATCATAATGACAGTATTCACTTTTGGTATCAAGGTAAGCACCAAATACTATGATGTTGAAATCATCTTGGCATTTTCAAAAATTGTATGTGGAATGAGAAACGAAATTTTTATTTAAAACTGTTTGTCTCTAACATAGGACAAAAAAGTTACTTTGTCTTTAGTTTTAATTAAGTTTTAAGTAATGACAAAAAGAACTCCTGACAATACATTGTTAAACATACATACTGTGTAACAAGTTACCCCAAAACTTATCATGTTAAGATAGCTACTTACTTCACTTGATATTAAGTCAACAACTTAATAAAGATTCAGTTGAGCAGTTTTTGCTGGTCTTAAAATCTCGTATTTTGTGAGGTTTTTCCAGCATTGTGGACTAAGAGTAGTTGTTTCTTAAGAATGACTTAGGCTTCCAAAAGCAGGTGTCCCATGAAGAGCATTTCTAACTTAGCCAGAGGAGTCATACAGTGTGTTTCTGTTACAGTTTGTTGTCTAGGGAGCCATAAAAACCTGCTCAGGTTTGGTGAGAGGGACATATACTCTGCCTGTTATTGGGATGGGTTTTAAAACCACTTATATTAGCTTCATATTATTCTGTAATAAATTACCACAAACCTAGTTTTTGTTAAGGCTTAAAAAACCATAAATATATTACATCATACTTTTAAAATATTATATATTACGTAATCTTATATGTACTTTATGTTTATAGTCATGTTAAGATATATGTATATATTGCACTTCTGTCAGAAGTTTAAAATTAATCTCGTGAGTTAAAAATAAAGGTGTTTGGGCCCATTTCATCATGGACTAATGAAAATTTTGTTCAGGAACCCCTAAAATAAAGAACTAATCCTTGAGTTTTCTATCTACAAAATGTGCTTATTACTTTGTAACTAAATTCATGGAATTATAAGTAACAAGATGTTGCTGTAGTTTTATTCTCGAATTTTTGCATATAAGTACAAATATATGAGAAAGAAATTCATAGAATGTACAATTCAGACAGGTAATACTAGAGGCTTTCCACCTCATGAAGAATTCTTTTCATGCAGGTTCCATCAGGCTTGTTCATCCCCAGCATGGCCATTGGAGCGATCGCGGGAAGGATTGTGGGAATTGCTGTGGAACAGCTTGCGTATTATCACCATGACTGGTTTATCTTTAAGGAGTGGTGTGAGGTTGGGGCTGATTGCATTACACCTGGCCTGTATGCCATGGTTGGTGCTGCTGCATGCTTAGGTAACGCAATGGTGTCTGTCTACTTGTGGATGTTTGTGAATCTGAAAAAAGAGCAAGTGAGAACCCTCCTCTCTCAAGGGGGTGAGAAGAGGGAGGGTACAGGACAAAGGAGGAGAATATTTCAATAGAAATGAAGCAGTGGTGCTACTTTGATACCTGATGATATATTTAAATTATACAGGACTTGTTTTCATTTTACCTGTTTCTGAACATTTGTTAATGTTAATGCAGAAATTTAATAGTAGTTAGGACATTTTTAGTGTCACATAATGTCTTAGAAAAGCATGTTAGAAAAGATTAGTGTGCTATAAACTTAAAATTTGAATCCTGATAGTTGAGCTTTTTATTTTCATTGTGATCTTGACTTACCATAGTGTGACTACTAAGAGTAGCATTCTAGAAAAGCTTCAGAATAGCTTTATTTTGGGCTCTGCAGTGATTTACTGTTAGTCAGTTCAAGATCACAAGCCATCCTCCATCTAAAAATGTATGTAAAGTGCATTTATAGTGAAATGAGAAAAAGTAACTACTTCAAAATAACAAAATATGTACAGTGAATACTTAAGATTTGACTTGTCTCCTTGGGCATAAAATTCTTTTTGTATTTAAATGTCAGCTAAACTTTAGTTAATAAACACTTGGTTAACAATTAGTTTAAGAATTATTGGTATTTTTGACAAAATGGTTAAAAGTAATTACTGATCATCAAAACTATAATATCAAATGAAAGTGAAGGACAGAATCATATTTTTCAATGTAGCAAGTATTTCTTAAGCATCACTTTCGGTTTAACATTGCTAGGAACAGTGAGTAATACAGGAGGAGGTATAAAACATGGACTCAACCACAACTATGATCAAGTTGGGGAGAAAAAAACCAATACTGCAAAGACCGAATTTTTTTTTTGCAGCAATATTATATAATGATTATATACAGTACTGATTAAGTTTATGAAATCTAAAGAAGGAAAGAACTAAAGTAATTCAGAAATGCTAGGACATGAACTTTAAAAGATTGGTAGAGGCCCTCCCTGGTGGCGCAGCGGGTTAAAGCACAGCACTGAGAAGCTAAATCCACTTCCTCATGAGTTCGATTCCCGCCTGCCCCGGAGGTAACTACATGGCGCGGCAGACCTCTCCTGACCCGCCCGCTGCTCCCCTCAGCAGTGTACTTCGTAGATCTGCCTGTTCTGCTCCCCACTCTGTGGTGAAGCCTCTCGCTGCCCCTGAGCCTGTGGCCTGTACCCCAGATATGTATGCACAAATAAATAAATCTTAAAAAAAAAAAAGTAAAAGGTTGGTAGAAATTAAAGAAGACTACTTTGTTGAAGATTAAATAGCACAAAAACAAAGGAGTAGGAGTTCGGATAGGAATAAATTCAGTATTCATGAGACTTTGAAAAAGCTCACTTTATTGAAGTCAAGTGTTCATTTTGGATACTTTTGGGAAACAGTGTTGAGTTGCTGAGGAGGAGCCAGCTTAAGGAAAGGAATGATTTGTGTTAGGATGATTTTGTATTTAGAATTGGTCAGATCTGTGGCAGAGTTATGATTTTGCCATTCTAGCTTCAAGTAAGTATCTACTATAGTTGTTTTGAGGATTACATGAGATAAAATGCACAGTGCTAGTAAAATAAGTGCCTAGTTTAAAAAGCAAAGAAAAGCCTTTGAAAACTGACCTGAACATGCCTGGCATAGAGTAGATATGTAATATATAGTAGGTTCTTTTTCCCTTCTATTTTTAGGTTAAAAAACAAAAAGGAAGAGTTAAGCTTAACACAGTATGAACTGGCAAGCCCTGGTAGGTTTTTGAGCAAAGGATCAACATGGTGAAAGTAGTACTTAGGAAAGATTAACCTGGGAACATGACTTATAAAGTGGATTGAAGGTAATGGGGCCTGGAGTCAAGGAGGTAAGATAAAACAGTGTTAATTTAAGGAACAAAGTGTTAAGGACCTAGATTAGGTTGGTAACAGTGATAATGTTAAGAAAGGAAAGCACAGATAGATAATTTGCTGAATAAATTAGATAAGACTAGGCGAGTCTAGATGCTGGAATAAAGTGATGAACAAGATGACTCTAGATTGTCAAGAAGAATGTGCTGTCCAGTGTTGTAGTTAGAGATATTGAAATGGAGCCCTTTGTGGGAGAAGAGATTGCTTTTAAGTGTGTGTTGTTTTCTGTGACGTTGGGCCATCCAGCTTTTGTACAGTCTGAAAACAAGACAGATAGGTTGTGCGTAGTTGGAGATATGGAACAAAAGCTACAGTTGAAGCGAGATTTGGCTAGGGAGGCATCAGGGCATAGAGATGATAGTTCAGAATGACGATTTGAGTAAGTGAATAATGAGTTTTTTTAAGTGAAGGGTTACTCCTTATACTTATGTAAGTTGCAAGGCATCAAAATATTTTACTCTTTTGAATAGATAAAAAGGAGAGAAGTGAATTAAAATAAAATTTTAAAATAAAATTTACCATGAGTTTAATTTGTAAATTAGTAGTAAACAAGATAACTCTTAAGAATTAATAATAAACTTTTATAAGTGTGAAAGTATGTCTTTGCAAAGTGATAAACCAAAATGGCAAACTTAATTGCTCAGCCATGATATTTTTATATTTAAAATGTTTATTAAATTGCCTTCCGTTTTATAAACAAATTGGTATTTTTTTCTAGACCTTCTTAAAGTAGTGATAATGGTGTGCTACGAGTAGTATTTTGGATGATAATGCTTCTTTCACTATGTTGTTTTTACCTTTTGATGTATGATTCAATAATTATACTAACATTTATTAATGAGGATCCAGTCATTCCTAACCTGTGGTGTTTACTTTTTTTCAGGTGGCGTTACAAGAATGACCGTATCACTGGTGGTTATTGTTTTTGAGCTTACTGGTGGCTTGGAATATATTGTCCCTCTTATGGCTGCAGTAATGACCAGTAAATGGGTTGGAGATGCCTTTGGTAGGGAAGGCATTTATGAAGCGCACATCCGATTAAACGGATACCCTTTCTTGGATGCAAAAGAAGAATTCACTCATACTACCCTGGCTGCTGATGTCATGAGACCACGAAGGAACGATCCTCCCTTAGCTGTCCTCACACAGGACAATATGACAGTAGATGATATAGAAAACATGATTAATGAAACCAGCTACAATGGCTTCCCTGTCATAATGTCAAAGGAATCTCAGAGATTAGTGGGATTTGCCCTCAGAAGAGACCTGACAATTGCAATAGGTACCCTTTTTTAAAAAATAAAAACAAATATACATCTAAATCTACTGATATCTAGATATCTAAGTAGCTAGATAACAGATACAGATTTCTGGAAGGAAAGTAATAAAACTTAATTGGTTGGATTTATGGGGGCACGGTGTGTATTTTAATGTCCTTGGAGTCTTCTTTAAGAAATTATGCTTTGCTGGCTTATTTTCTGCAGAATATAGTTTTATTCTCTGATTTGGCATTGTTGTCAGTTGTTTGTTTTTTTTTTTTAAGATTTATTTATGCATACAGAACTGGGGTACAGGTCAGAGGTGCAGGGGCAGTGAGAGGACTCACTAGAGACAGAGTGGGAGCAGAACAGGCCAACTGACAAAGTACACTGCTGAGGGGAGCAACAGGTGGGTCAGGAGAGGTCTGCCGGGCCAAGTGGGTCAGTTCCCTGCCCAGGGATTAAATTTGTGCTGAAGTGGCCTTAGCTTTGTAGTGCTGTACTATAACCCACTGCACCATTAGGGAGACGTCTCTTGACCTGACCGCTGCTCCCCTCAGCAGTGTACTTCACTGATCTGCCTGTTCTGCTCCCCACTCTGTCTCTGGTGAATCTTTTCACCCATCACAACTGTAGCCTGTACCCCAGTTCTGTATGCACAAACAATAAATCTTTAAAAAAAAATTAGCCTGGTTCTGATGAGCCAGAGGAGTTGGATTGAGGGCCCAAGGCACAAGTTTCAAAATGTGGCGGTGCCCACAGAAAAAAAAAAAAAAGAATGGCATTCAAAACAGGTTTTAAAAATCCAATAAAATCAAACCTAGCAGATGCCTGGCACTTAGTAAGTGTTCATAAATGATGCTTGCTAAAATAGTTACTGTATTCATGAAAATTAAGTGTTATTCTTAAAATAACAAATTTAAGGCCCTCCCTGGTGGCGCAGCAGGTTAAAGCACAGCACTGAGAAGCTGGAGCCGCTTCCGCATGAGTTCAATTCCCGCCTGCCCTGGAGGTGACCACATGGCGTGGCAGACCTGACCTGCCCGCTGCTCCCCTCAGCAGTGTACTTCATAGATCTGCCTGTTCTGCTCCCCACTCTGTCTGTGGTGAAGCCTCTCGCTGCCCCTGAGCCTGTGGCCTGTACCCAAGTTCTGTATGCACAAATAAATAAATCTTTAAAAAAAAAATAACAAATTTAAGCCAGAAAGGCTGGATGTTCACTAACTTTGTGCCTAAAAGACCATTCCAGTAAATAAGTTAACATTTTAAAAACAATTGGAAATTTTTTGATCATTGTTTTGTCGTATTAAATATTTATTTAGATAATCTCAGTATATTTCCCTTGGTGACATAATTTTTATTTTATGGGATTTTAAGATATGTAAGATTGGCGTTAGTTTTAACTTGGGATGTCTGTCATATGTGCTATCAATGTGTACATGACTCCATTCAGTTGTCCAACACAAGTCATTAGCTAGATGCTTCTATGGACTTGAAGCAATTTACTGAGCATTTTCCAAGTCATTTATGTCATTTGTTAATGGACTTTCTTCTTTCCCGTGCCTTTATCATGCTTTTAAGATGGTTTAGTAAGAACCAGCCACTAGGATGTGGTTACTTAAATGTGTTAGAGCCACAGTTAAGTAAGGTTTTAGTGGTCAGGAGTAAAAAGCATTGCAGTATCTACTTAGGAGCAGTAATATCTGCTTCTTAAATTAGGGCTGGTATTTACTACTTTGACTTGAATTTTTGTTGCATAGTAGGTGTTCAGTATAAAAAAATAACTGTGTGTGTAAAGTTTTGAGTACACTTAACTAAAAATAGAAACATAAAGCATTTGAATGACTTCTATTTTTGTATTCTCTCCATTATGGTTTCCTTCTCTTCTGTGGTTGCTCTTCAGTTTTATGTGTCTTTGCTACTTCCTGTGTTAGCAAAGTGGGTGTAGAGATAGGCAGGGGGACAGAAGCATGTGATGCACAGCATACTGGAGAGGAGGAGAAATTAGCACATTGTTTATAAATAAAACAAAAAATCAGTCTGTGTCCATTATGTACATTCTTACTGTAATCTTCATGACTGTTGAAAATTAAACTGTTAACATTAGAAAAGAGACAGATCTAACGTAAAGGCAGAATACACAGCCTAATCAAAGCTAGGATGAACTTTATTTAGTCCCACCTCCAGTTGGGATAAGTGACCTTTAGCTCTTACTCATTGGCAAGCAGGCCCCATTCAGTGAAGGATTCCTGTAATAAGCTGTGCTCTCAATAGTTCGTACAGATTTTAAAATTTCCTTATGCCAGTTAACTTCCTTGCTCCCCTGAATTAGGAAACAACTTCCTCCTCAATAGAGAAAAATTGCACCATGATTTAATTATATAAAACATTTTATTTAGATGAAAGTGATTTGTTACTGGTGGACTATAATTCTGTCATAGACAAATTGCTAGGGGACTTTTCGACTTCTTTTTGGTTAAAATGTGGGGAAATATGAAGGGATAAAAAATCATAGGTATTTTTTCATGTCTCTGAGTAAGCAGGTTCCCTTACAACAAAAGCTACCTTTTCAAACAAACTGTTCTTCCTCGCTTTTCAGAAAGTGCCAGAAAAAAACAAGAAGGTATCGTGGGCAGTTCCCGTGTGTGTTTTGCACAACATACCCCATCTCTTCCGGCAGAAAGTCCTCGGCCATTGAAACTTCGAAGCATTCTTGACATGAGCCCTTTTACAGTGACAGATCATACCCCAATGGAGATTGTGGTGGATATTTTCCGAAAACTGGGTCTGAGGCAGTGCCTTGTAACTCACAATGGGTAAGTTTGGTTAAAGAAATCAGGTCATTTATCAGAATTAATGATCCTGTTCACTGGTATTCATATGCAGTTAGGGGAGAGTATAAGTCAGTTCTCCAAGAGGAAAATCTGTTTGAAATCATTGTAAATTTGGGATCAGTCCTGTAGATTCACACTTAACAAAAAAGAGCTCTTTGCCACAACACAAATTGGTATTTGTCAAGAAACACTTCAATGTTGGCAAAGAGGTGCTAGAACCTCCTGAAAGTGTATGATCAACATTTTCTTTCTTGGAGGGATCACACTCGTGCTTGCTGCACAAACTTCTTGTGGTTTTTGGTATTTCATTTGTAGAATATAATAATTCAGTAATAACTATTTTTTTTTGGATTTTTACTGTCAACCATTATTTGATTTTTTTATGTAATAAAGGAAATAATATATAGTTAAGTTTGTAAGATAGCAAAAAAACCCCTTTGCCAAATGCTTTGTTTCCTCTTTTCTTTACCCACAAAACTTTTGTATAAACTTCTCATGATAAACACCCATGTATTTAAAATGTATAAATTTCCCTGTCTTTTACATCTAAGCAGTGTGTTTCTCCAGAATAAGAATTTAGGAAAGTATTGTTTGGCAGATGTCAAACGGAACGTGGAGACAATGCATAGTGCACCTCAGCAGTGCACTAGGTGGGGTTCCTTTTCCACTGTTCCCCTCTCTTCCTGTTCCAGGGGTCTGTTGCTCAATCCACTCTCTAGTGCTCTTTATTTCCTTATGTTGCTGCTCCTAGTTGAAATGCTGAAGAATATCATTTTACCTGAAGGTGAATACAAGGTCAGGGGCGTGGGATTATGCATGAATTGCATGGTAGCCATGCAGTGTGAAGCAAATTGAAATACTTGACATTTAGAGGAGCACAGCAGGTGTTTTTGTTTTTTAAAGTCTGTAGAAAACATGATGACAGAATACATGACCCTGCCTAGAGAAAGGAAGAAAAACAAAAGGAGGAATATTTGCTTATAGCACACCTTCTTCATGTTTTCCTTTAACTTTGCCAACACTTCCAGAAGTACCTCTACAGATGGAATATTGCAGCTGAAACAAGTGTAATAATTTACTCAGCCTCGTGGTCGCAAGTCTTAGAATCCAGTATCTTTGCAATTTAAAAATTCTGATCTCTTCTATCTCACACTGTAGCTGACTCATAGGATATCGTATCTTTCTTTGTGATTTCTTAAACCACTGCTATTTTCTTGGACAATATATTAGGCTGTGTTGGGCTAGGAGTAGAAATACAAAGCTAAGAGCATTAGATCTTTGTTTAGTACTTTCACTGTGTTGGCCTTTTAAAATAACTAGACAATATGAAATAAATTATTTAAGGATAAAGCTCTTGAGGGGAGGGAATTTAAAATTAATAAATACCACGGAGTGGGTAGAGGTATAGTAAAATAACTTGTTTAATTTTTTTAGTTAAATAAATATGATACCAAACTTTATTATTTGAAAACTTAGTAAGTACGTGTTAAGTGGAATAACTTTTCCTAAAACTTTACTGGTTCTAAGGCCCCTCTGTTATAAAACTAGCTTGAGTTGTTATAAATTTTTACTTCTTTGAGTTGTTTTCTCTGCCTGGTAATGGTTTGTCCTTTTATTCACTGATGAATGTCATTCTTCAATCATGACAACCAGATCACAAAGCTTTGCAGGTTAATAGCTAGATTTTGTTGATAATTCTCAAGTTTTTGGCAGCATAAATATTAGAAAGGGAAATATTTAAAAGAAAGTGTAGAAGTGAGGTAAGGACAAATAGCTGAAGTCTTACCTGATGCTGTCTGTTTATAAAGAAAGCTTTTGGAAGAAGTGACTTTTTTCTTAAATAATCTGTTTAATTGCCTTGTGGTATTTTTATTTTTCTCTTCCAAGGAAAATAGATCGATTCTTATATAAAGAAAAGAAATTTTGGGGTGGTGGCTCTTCAGACTGTATTTTCAAGGAAATAAGAGTACCCTATTGTTACTTAAATTTAAATGATTTAAATCCAGAAAAGAAGTCCTATCCTCTGGCTCTTGGTGGGAAGTATAAAGTGGTAAAATTACTCACATTTTTAGTTTATACTGAGCCCTTTAGGGGTGGAATAGAACTCTTTGGGGGAAGATGCACAACACATCCAGAAACCTTAGGTGCTTGGAGAAAAGGGTAGAGAGGTGAAGGGTGTTTCTGTAAATTTTAAAGAGGTCAATTAGTTATATAGCTTTCCTTCATTTTTATTAGCCAGGAGATTTTTCAAAATCTTTTAGTCTTGGGAGAAACTAGCAGGATGTTACTAGACATTGCTCAAAAGGGTTTTTGTGATCATGTAAGTTTGCAAAATATTGAATTGAGTACAATTGAGGTTTCTTTTCTGTGGAACTTCTCAGAGAGTGTTGATGTTACTTGAATCTTAGGCAGGGACAATAGGAAGCAGTTTTCAAAACTTATTTAAACATGCCTTCCTTTTTCTGATGGAAAAGGGGCAGAAAAACTGATGGAGAAAAGTGGCTGACTTTCCTTAGGACATACTTTGGGAAGATGCTGGGTTCTGCCCTTTAGCTCTTACGTTATTATTTGTCAGTTCAAAAGGAAACAGCACATTTTTCTAGAAGTGAGTCACATTTTGCAGTGATTTTCATTGTGCATCCTGAAATTAACAAAAGCCAAACTGAATGTTAGCTTCATTTTCTCAAATCTCCATTAACTAATGAGTGCAAGTACATACATTTCCTCCTTTTTATGGCTATTGCATTGTAAATATAGAGATTGCTTTGTAAGTCTCTATATTTGCTACATGAGCCTTAGTAAATTTTCAACTTTCTTCATTGTCCTCCTATATATAGATTACTAATAAGAGATTTTAACTGAAATTAATCGTCATATGTAATTACCTAGAAAAAAAATCAATTAAAAATTAAAATGGAATTATTGTATGTATTTAATTGCCAAGATTTTTATGTATCCTCACTCCCACCATAAGTTCAAGAATATTGATGATTTTTCACAAAAATATTAAATATTTTTATCAAATGAGAATGCCTATTGAATGACATTTTATATAGTGCAGTTTCCGAACTACAGAGGTAACATATTTCCAGACTCTGAGAACTTTTCATCTTTATTCCTGAGGATCCCATTATGTTTTTAAGAAAGTATTAGCAGAGAACATATTTCTGCTTCCCCACTCACCCACACCCGATTTATGTTTTGATTGCCACATCTTTAGAACCAGATTATTTTGAGTCAGTATAGTCCCCTGGTGACAGTAGCATTCTTTGAGCAGCTAGAATGCTCAAATGAAGTTTAATAGTTCAGTTGACTCAACCAGATCACCAGGGAAATGTCCAGCTATCCTGAAAAGCATTCTGGATAGGTTTCTATTTCCCTTTTATTTAAAACTTTTTATGCTGTTTTATACTCACTGTCTATATTGCGTATTGCCACATATTGCAGTTGAGTTTATTGACTTTCACTATAAAAACCAGTATCCAGAATTTCATTTCAATAATTTAAAATAGTCCAATTATCTTCAGTGTCATAAGAATTTATGTCCATTTTTTGAAGTGATGATGGTGTTCCCTGAGAAGTAATCACTACTTAGAGATAATGCATAAAGTAAAAGTCATTTTGATCCCTTAATATAAATGTCTTATTATCTTAAGAATTGCAGTGCATCACTCCCTGAAAATTAGGGGGTGTTTCTATTGGTCAGCATTGTTTTGCACGCATCACCTTTAATTTTAATTCCAAAGAATGATAAATCTAAGGAATTTCTTGAGTTTCCTTATGGATAATAAAGGGTATACTGTCTTCTACTTTTTCATCACAGATATATTCAAATCATAGGTGCTGCATTGTGAGACTTTTAGAAACTAGAAAAACATTTCTCTTTAAGAAAAGAACACTGGAAATAAAACTAAATTTTGAAAGGTCTATATAGCTATGTATTAATATTAAGTTCCTTTTATACTTTGTAGTCATCTTCCTTGTGAACTCTTGCAGGCTTCATTTTTAATTTAAAAAAAGAGAACAGCCTACCAATATTTTAAAATAGTATGTCACTTTTGAAAGTCAGTAGGATTTATTATGCAAATGGATGTGGGGCTTAAAAATCATTTCTGTTTTTATTGTTTTAAAGATCATTAAAAGCATTCTTATGTTCATGTTTTTGTTTTTTCTCTCATTCTTTATCATTATGATTGGAACCTCTTTTAATTTAATTTCTCACACAGTTATTAGCATAACATGATCTGTTTCAGGATTGTCTTGGGGATCATCACAAAGAAGAACATATTAGAACATCTCGAGCAACTAAAGCAGCACGTCGAACCCTTGGTGATTAGATATATCAGATCTCCTCACTAGACACCTTAGAAGTCAGGAAGCATGAAACTTGTGAACTGTTCAGTTCTCTCTTGCCCAGATATCTGCTGAACAACAACAAAAAATCCTACATGCTGCCAATTACAATTGTATCATAAAATGTCTCTAAGATAAATTTAGATATGTATAAAATTCTATTCCTAGAAAGTAAGTAAAATTTAACATCTCTCAAAAAAAAAATCATTAGTGGCAATATAAGACCTATAAACAGTTGGTAGTTGATCGAACAATTATTGGCATTCTTTAAGTAAGCGCAACAGCGTCTACCTTGGTGGATACCACTTGCAGGAGGCACCAGTCTTACTGGTTATAAATGCCTGCTCCCATCCCAAACCCTTTTTCTTTTTTATGTTTCCCAATTTTGTGGTAGTCTTGTGGTTAAATCTAAGCTCAAAGATGACTTTAATCAAGCTTAGCAATGTTAGAATTGCTGACAGTTGGATGGGTTTTTTATGGGCACACTAACTGTGCATCATGTGTATGTACTTGTGATCATAGCATTTGCTCTTTTTCTACTATACCTTGCGTACCTTCCAAGTCAGGAATGCGTGTCCTGCCATTTCATCAGTGAACTGTACCTAGATTGCATGTGTATCCCTTTAATCTGATGTTTCTAGAATGCTATAAACAGCTTTTAACATCAAATGCTTTTCTTTTTAACTGGCTGTGTCCCAGTGGTTTCATGAATAAAGATAAATTTTGAATTACCTAACTGCATAATTTAAAATTGTCTGACTTTAGCAATTAATACTTTAAGTTAATTGCCCTACAATTGTCACACTAGATAAAACCTATCCCAGTTTGCTTATGTACACGACTGAGTTGTAATCCTGTTATTTGCTAATATTTCACAAGTGTTTCATGCATCCTTTAAAAAAAAAAAACTACTAACAGAATAATAAGTAGCTACTCATTCATTCTGCTTCCTGCTTCACTTATAATAATCTTATGGGACTGCTTTTTTGATTTTTCACTTATCTTTTAATGTAAGCATTAACCACTTAAGACTTTCATGAAAGCACTGTATCTGAACTTTTTTGGCCAAAATCATAAAAGAAAACATTTATGTGTATAGTAGAAACTTGGGTTGTCTTATAGATTTATCCTTTGGGCTTCAGAAGTTTGGGATTGAAGTTTTGTGTTGAGCATTTTAATATGCATCTTATCTCAATTCTAAGTGCCTTCCTGAAGATTCTGCATACAAGTGGGCAATTCTTAAAATTTTTTTAAAGCTTATTTTGGTTAAAAAAAAGGGGAGCATTCAGGGAAATTGGTCATCAGTCATTGCTTTTTTGATGTGATGGGAATGAACTTTACTTCTCAGATGAAATTGGTATCATTTCTTATTCATACATCCATTTTTGGTTACTTTTTGTTGGCATACATTAATCAAAGTAGCTCTACTTCTATGAGGCATGTCCTCAGAGTCTCAACAGAAAGGATGTTGTATTATTAGTGACCACAGTACTTTTTATATCAAAGGATGGTTACTGGATAATTTAATTATCTTTATCAATAAAATATTTTTTGAAACTAAAAATGAGACTGCTTGCTTTGCTCTATTCCCGTCAACAAAAAGAATTTAGTGGTAGATTTAGCCTCTCTTTTTCTTTTCCTTTTTAATAGCAATCTTCTGTTTATCCCTTTCAGACGCCTCCTTGGCATTATAACAAAAAAAGATATCCTCCGTCATATGGCCCAGACGGCAAACCAAGACCCCGCTTCAATAATGTTCAACTGAAGCCCATAGATGAGGAGAGAGAGGAAACAGAAGAGGAAGTTCATTTGTTGAATAGCACAACTCTTTAACCTGAGGGAGTGAGTCGTCTACTTTTTTTTCTCCTAAAAAAAAAAAGGAATTACAAAAGCCGGGCTTTTGCATCATGGTTTGCCAATAATGCTGGTGGAGTCGAGTTATTTGGGAGGGAAAGGAGAGAGAAAAGGAAATGAGTGAGGGAATTTCCCCATCTAACTGAGAGCAGCAAATCAACTCCTGTTCTGCACTGGATGCATTCAGCTGAGGATGTGCTGTGATAGTGCAGGCTTGAGCCTCCAGAGAGGACAGCAGCGCCTGCCCGCCCGCCCGTCCGCCCTCCTGGGAGCACCTGGCCTGTTACTCCAACTTCGCATGGAGGCACTATCAGTCCTCATTTCTGGAGGGATTACTTTGAATTGAGCCATCTTTAAGACTGTAAGGTCTTGCCCTTTTTTTTTAAATCAAAACTGTTCTGTTTAATTCATAAGTTGTAGAGTTAAGCATTACCTTTCTACATTCCAGAAGAGCTTTTATTTCTCTCTCTCTTGAGCTGTAACAAAGCCTCTTTAAATTGGTGTACCCTTTTGAAGCAGTCCTTTCTCATATTGAGATGTACTGTGATTTTACTGAGGTTCCATCACAAGAAGGGAGTGTTTCTTGTGCCATTCACCATGTAGGTTGTTCCATCACCAAATGCTTGGGGCAGTCACATGCCCACAACAAAGGCTGAGCAGACAGGTAAATCCTGAACACAGCGTCAGTGAAATCTCAGCCTGTGTGCCGTGTATTTCAGAATCAACAATGAAAACAGAGTTTTCTTTTTTTTTTCCCCCTCTCAGACTTTATGGATAATGTGACCTTGTCTTATGCAAATTCTGTACTTCTAAAACGACTATGATATACAAGTGCTGTTCAGCATAAGGAAAAAAAATGCTGCTTTTACAGGAAAGAGAAGGAAGTATTCTGTTTAGCTGTATCTGGTATTAATTGCATGTTTAAACACTGGAATTTTTTTTTTCTTGACATTAGATCAGTCATTTTTTTCTTCAAGATACTTCACTGCTGACACTGAAGAAGAAATGTAACTCATAACTTGCACTAAATGTATATTTCTTTTCTTAAAAATTTACCATTCTTATTTATATTTTTATGGATTAAAATTTATAAAATACAGATCAGTTAATATCGCACAAATAATTTTACCTTTTTAATGTGATTTTTATAGACTAATTCAAACTTACACATATGGAGATATGAACAAAGTTTACAATGGGAACAAGGGTTTAAATGGAAGTCATGGTTATTTCTCTATGATCCAATGTGTACATAAACCTTTTTCAGATCTTTCACTGCCATCCCCTGGATTATGCCTCTGAACTGTTCATTTTGACTCATTACCTGGAAAGTAAAATACTCTAAGTCACTTTGCAGATTAAAACCAAAAGCTAGTGTTTTTTAAAAACACTTAAAAAAAAATCAAGCAATTGCAACGGTAGCAGTTACAGTTTTAATCTAAACATAACCTTTATTAACCTTTGGGTAGTCACATCCATAACTGTTCAATGATGTTTTGAATATCCATGGTGTACATTTTGCAGGATGAACTGAAATAACTGAGGTATGTCTGGAAGTTTTGATTTTGGAAATGTCTATCATAATTAATCATGGTGTTAGTTCACAGTTGGCTAAGGCAATTTTCTTGAAGGATTGGCTTAAGTCTTCTATGATTCTGAATTTTGTAGGAAAATGAATTTTTGCAGACAGATGCATTCTGAACCATAACAGGCAATGAACATTTTTATATTTTGGAACTGACTCTTCCTAATTCTTGATGATAATACACCTGTAAAATCTTTAAGATCACAAAGATCTATAAGATCGTGAAGATCTATAAGATCATGAAGCCATATTAGGATGACAATTGAAAGTTGATTAAAAGTTTAGGAATTTCATTGGATAGTCTTAGCTTTGCTTTCTGCTGAAGGTTAGTATTTTTTCCTAGTTATTTCCCCCCTTTGGTAGACTTCAAATTTTCTTAATGACTCATTCAAAATTCATTTGGCCATTTAGAATGAAATCATTTCTAAATCATAGCTCTGTGTATCTTACTTCTGCCATGTCCTAAGTGTATCTGCAGCATGAAAGGCAACACGTGAGCACGAGCTTCTTGGCACTGGCCATTGAATAACTTCGCTGCCTGTCCTGGTTACAAGCCTTCAAAGAAGGAATTGGGTTTCTTTGCAGAGAGTGTCATACTTTATATTTCACATAGACTTTATTTTTGACATTGCCTTTTGATTTCAGGTCCTTTGTTCATTGCCCATCCTGCTACAGATACTAACATTACAGGGTGGATATTCGAGGTGGATAGTAACTTTCTTCTTGTGTATTTCTTTCCCTGATATATCTTACTGCGGAAATACAGGAAAAGTGTCGTCTTTCTAATGTGTCCACTAGTTTTCTTTGGTAATACTCTGGTAATACTTTACTTTTTGACATGTTGAGGTCTGTCTGCTTTTCAACTAAGTGATGAAACGGTGGAGACCATGACATATATGTCTGATTGGCAAATTAACTGACCAGTATAATAAGTGGAGCACCTTATTGGAGTACCCTTTTTGAGAAGGTATGAGAATGGGCAAGGTGTCAGCATCTCTTCTTATTTATAATTGTTTTCAGTTTTGGTTCATGAAGAATGCTTAGTTTGTTAATCTGTGATGTTGCCTAGCTGTATTTATCTGTTTTTATTTATACCAGTGTAGTAAAGCTGCATATCATTACAGTAAAGATGATTACTGTGATGAGTTATTCAGAAAATCTATTAAAATCTATATGACAATGTGTGGTTTGGCCTTTAATTATATCTGTAACAGTCCTCCACTTTTATTGCTGTTCCAGGCAGTGTGGGCCAATATGCCTGGCATGCAACCTTGAAGGGCTGACATATGAAATGGTTCTCTGAGGTTACAAAGCTTTATCTGTCCTATGTGAATGAAGGATAGATGCTGGATTGAACAGCAGAGTAGATACATGACTTGACTTGCAATATACCGAGCTCCCATTTTGCAGGAAGTTGCAGGAAGACTTCACTTCAGTTTATGTTAAAAAACATTTCTTTTAAAGAGAAAAATTATGTTTGCATGAAGAGAAAACTTGTAAATGAGTCTTAAAGATTACTATATTTAGAAATTACCTATTTTTAAAAAATTGCCTTGGAAATTTGCTACTTTAAACTGCAAAAGGAGGCAGTACATGTGAATTGTTAAAAGGTTTCAGTGGTCTTCTAATATCAAACTTTTAGTAAAGAGAAAAACACTTTACTAGAATGCCCAGGTTTATCATTGGTTTCATTTGAATGAAAGACATTGAATACATACTACATGTGAGACACCATTCTGTATGTTCTTGAAGCTTACATTCCAGTAGGAAAAATACAGATGTATAGTTATGTTAGATGGTGATAAATATCAAAACTAATTAGTCCAGGAAAAAAGGTTTTTGGCAATTTATCATGCCACATAAATCAAGCAAAAATTCCCATGCCAGTGGAGAAAAATAAATAAATGAAGAGGATGCTATATTTTATAGAGTGTGATCAGAGAAAGCCTCAGATGAGATGACATTTGAGCAAAATTGTAAAGAAAAGGAGGGCATGATATGGTTATTTGTGAAAAGAATGTTCCGGAAAGAGGAAGCACTGTATGCAGCATCCTGAGGTAAAATATGCCCGACTGCTCAAGGAACACCAAGTGGGTCATTACGATTGGAGGGGTAAAGACATAGGATGAGCAAAGTTGGGGGTGTGGACTTGGCTTTTCTTCTGGAAGCCAGTAGGACCAAGTGACATGATCTGACTTAATATGCTCTCTGTGGCTACTGTGCTGGAAACAGACTATATAAGAGGGTAGAAGCAGAAGACTTCCGGTATGATGCAGTCAAGATATGATAGAACCTTGACACTGGCTGAAGCTGGGGGAAGTGTTTAAGGTGGTTGGATTATAGACATTCTGAAGGTAGACAGGATTAATTAAATGATTTGGTGTGGGAAATAAAGCATATCTTAAAGGGTTTTGACTGGAATCACTACAGTACAGTAGAATGGGCAGCCAGTTGGGAAAGACTTCAGGAAGAATAGATTTAATGTGAATAGAAGAACTTTGGCTTTAAATATGTTAAATGCCTCAGACTTCTGAGAGCAGGAGCTAAGTTGGCAGTTGTATATATAAGACGAGTTCAGGAGAAAGGTCCAGCCTGAGAGACCTAACTATGGAGGGATTAACTGGGCCAAAATGAGCAATGAAGCATATGTAAGCTTTTATTTGGAGAGATGAGGATTCAGTAAAAGAGGGAGTATTCACTGAGGTAGGGCCAGGAGTACTGACATTAAGGGAATGTCAACCCCTAAGTCAAATGAATAGTTTCAAGGAAGATCATTGTCAGGTATTGCTGATAGGTAAAGAAAACGAAGACTGAGAATTGGCCATGTGATAACTGTCCAAAGCGGTCAGGCAAAAGCCTGGAGATGGGAAGGAAAGGAAGACAGCTAGTGCAATTTTACCCATGAGTTTTCAGAAAAGGGATGTGTGATAAGGGGTAGTGTAGGATACAGTAGGCTATCCCACTCTATTTTCTAATATCAAACTTTCAGTAGGATAGTGGATAGTACAGCTTTTTTTTTTTTAAATTTGTTATTGGGGCCCTCCCTGGTGGCACAACATTTGAAGCTCTACAAAGCCACTGCAGTATGAGCGTAATCCCCAGCCAGTGAGCTGATCCACAAGGCGTGGCAGACCTCTCCCGACCCACTATCTGTGCTTCTGTTAGAACATAAGCTGCTTCCCTCAGCAGTGTATTTCTGGAGATCTGCCTGTCTGTTCCCCATTCTGTCTCTGGTGAATCCTCTCACTCACCACACCTCTGGCCTGCACCCCAGTTCTGTAAGCATAAGTAAATCTTTAAAAGAATTATTAATGGAAGAGGAGAAACTGATGACCTGATAGGCTAGGTCCAAGGGGAGACAAGATCTTGGACACATACTGGGATGTTAAGCAACATAAATAGAAGAGGCAGACTGTATTGGGTAGTAGTAGTGGGTGAGATTTTGTGGAAGTTATTTTTCAAGTTTCTTGGCTAAATAAACGGGAGAGGGAATGGAGGGGCAGTCACATGTCTGAGGAAAAGATGTAAAAGTATAACTGATGGGCAACAGCACAGCCATCGTGAGGTTCATAGTTCTATTTTTTTTTTTTTATTTATTTATTCGTACAGAACTGGGGTACAGGCCAGAGATGCGGTGGGTGAGAGGATTCACCAGAGACAGAGCGGGGAGCAGAACAGGCAGATTGACGAAGTACACTGCTGAGGGGAGCAGCGGGCGGGTCAGGAGAGGTCTGCCGCGCCATGTGGTCACCTCCGGGGCAGGCGGGGATCGAACTCATGCGGAAGTAGCTTTAGTTTCTCAGTGCAGTGCTTTAACCCACTGCGCCACCAGGGAGGGCCAGTTCTATTTTTTTTTTTGACTTTTTTGTGCATACAGAAATGGGGTATAGCCAGAGGTGCAGGGGCGACAAGCGGATTCAACAGAGAGGGAGTGGGGGGCAGCACAGGCAGATCGACAAAGTACACTGCTGAGGGGAGCAGTGGGTGAGACAGGTCTGCTGCACCATGTGGGTTATCTATGGGGCTGGGGATTGAACTCACACTGAGGCGGCTGCAGCCAGCCTGTAGTGTCCTAACCCATTGAGCCACCAGCGAGGGCCCTTGACAGTTCTATTTTATCCCCAGCTACCTGGTGAGCAGTAGCAGGAAGGAGTAGGCAGCTTTGTATCAGGTAGTGGGTAATGGAGGGGGAGAGGGATGTAGTAATTTTAACAATAGGGGATGAGATATATGGATTAGGTGAAGAGGGAAACAACACTGAAGTGTTCAGAATAGTGACAAAAGGTGGTTGTCAGATTCATAGGGTATGATGGGGTCAAAAAATTGTTACAAGTTAGGGTATTAGAAGAAGAGAAATGAAAAGATGAAAGATGTTGGGTTACAGGATACTTGAGATTGGGGAGGGATTTCATTCTTGGCACTGACAGGTTCTCTGGTAAAGTGAGTTTGTGGCTGAAATGTGGCATTGTTCAGATCACATGTTTTCTGGTTAAATGCCAAAAAGTAAGTATCATATTTTCTGTGGGCCACAAAATCTTTTCCAATTTTGCCCATTTAGCCGCATACAATATGCAAGCAAGCAGGTGTTTTTTACAAAAACAAGGAGCAGGCTGGATTTGGTCCTCGTTTGTTGACCCCTAGTCTACGTCATTGAATAAACTGCGAGGTTCAGTGTATTGGAAGTATCTGCAATGTTGAAATTATAATTATGACAGGAGAAACTTAGAATGATGTTAAGCCATAAGGTCTGAGTTAGTGCAAAGGTGTTTATCGTTGCAGACATACAGTTTATAGCATTATCTTAATATGGCATTCATTATTTTGTTGGGCAAATCATTCCATGCATATGTGAGAAGTTTCTGCAGGCAGACATTAAGGCCCTGAAAGTGACCTTAACTCAATATGAATTGGGTGGTGATTTTCTGTTATGTTCCTGATTAGGTCAAAATTCATGAAAGGGTCTAAGTGTTCAAAAGAAGTAGACTAGAAGAATCACCTTTAGCCAGAGTGGCCAGGGCCTAGTTAGATATAAATACTTGTAAACTAGGTTTCAACTGACTGTCCTTTTCATGAAGGAAAAAGGAAAGGAAGGCTTGGTATCCTGTAAGGAGCTTGCTTTTCAGTGAAAAGTGTTCAGTTGTCGATTAGTACTTCCTGCAACAAATTACACAACTGACACAACTGGTTGGGTTTGAGACAGGAAATCCACGATTGTTATCTCCCAATAGTATCAAATTATAACTGTTGTATTCTTGGCAGTACTGGTGTCCCAATTCTGTCTTGGCTCTGCTAGGTCCAGTTTTTTAAAGTTACACATTCGTGTTAGGCTTATGTAAGGAGTGGATGAAAAGGCAGTCCCCTTTTCGTTCCCTTTAAATTGTTCCTTGATAAGTAGTCCTCTTGGAATCCTTGTTACTGCTCACAGCAAAGTTCTGAAAAGAACTTACAAACTTACATTTGAGACAGTTGGATCAAATGAGCTGCTTGTGAGAGTGCACACGAGTCTTGTGAAGAGTCACCTGTCAGTGCAGGGCAGCCGATCCGATCCGGGTCCGGCTCTGGGAGGGAAGAGGGCTGGGCACTATCGTGTCTAAATGCGCCCGGTCCTCCCAACCCAGAAATCCAACCCTTAGAGCTATAGTTTTTAATCTCCTTAATTCTCAGAATTCTTTGTTGCCTTATGTTAAACACTGAAATAGGACTCCTAGGAGCTAAATAGGCACCAGGCACAGGGACTTTCTGCGACATGTTAAGAGGATGACTCTGCTTGTCTTCCAGAATGTGAGTAGGGCATCATTATTTGGATGCTTTGACTGTCATTTTACTGCATTTGAAAAGAGAAAACTAGGCCAGATGAGCCTTATAGAAGTTTTTAGTAAATGTTTCCAATTTATTTTTGTACTCTCTAAAAACAAAACAAAAATCACAAGTTCAACACTAATGCTTTAAGATATTATCAAAGCAAGCCAGCTCTCACTCAGGCTGCAAGTTGGTCTACATTCTCTTTACTTCTGTTTGCCAGATGATCTTCAATAATTTCTGCAAAGAGATTCCTTTTCAGCAGATTATATGCAAGAGGTAAAAGCTGGCCAGCAACTTTGTGGAAGTACTGAAAAATAAAAATACATAATTAAGCAGAAAATGTAAGATATGTTAGTAAAGTTTATATATATATATATG